TTGGTATTATTGGTGTTTGTTGCTTTGGAATGGCTGTTATTACTCAGATTTTTGTACTGGTTTAAAATTTGATAATGTTTTTTAATAATTTTTTAAAGATTATCTGTACAGCGATAACATAGTTTTAGTGTATTTCTGTAAAAAATTTTACTGAGCGGATTATTTCTGGGGAAGTGTTTATCAATTAACTTGAGGAACTTTTACCTTAACTTAGTACTAACCATTTGATTTCAACATGTATGTAATCCCAACAGTGTTATAAGTTATTGACATTTGGAAAAAAAATTCATGAATAATATATCCCGAAAATAACATCCAATAATGCATTTCATCTTCAATTTATTTTCTACCCATTCTGGAGAATTTCCATCTCAAAACTCAGACACTTAAAAACAGAGAATATAAAAAATGTTAAATGATTTTTTTTAAACATCACTCATTTTCTTTCTCTTTTAGTCTCAGAAATACTGGCTTGGGTAAAATAATATAAAATTTAATAATTTTAAACACACACAACACATTTTTCGTTATTCATCTGATGAAGCCATTGAAGGCAAAATGCATTATTGGATATTATTTTTGGGAGATATATTTCATGAATGTTTTTCCAAATGTCAATATATATATATATATATATATATATATATATATATATATATATATATATATATAAACTGATCCACAAAAAGATCTCAATGTATTTATTAGAGTTGGTTGGTTTGACAATTTATGTTTCGGTATCGGTTTCCCTTTTTTTATTCCTTGATACCACAGTTTTCGACTCGTTTTTTGGTTTTTAATTTAGTATTTTTGCTAAGAAAGCCATTCATTTTCTTGTGTAATGATAGCATTTCCAGTTGATATCTGATTACGTTTGAGACTGATTAATTTGCAACTTAGTCTGTTCAAGTCACAATTTCTCGTGTATTTCTAGTCCAATCTTTAAAATATTCATATGGCTGGAAAGAAAATAAAATAATCTTTCTAATTATGTATTTTGTATGTGCTTTCATTTAGTGAATTATTTACTTATTTATTTTTTTTTTTACAGTCAGTTAAAATGGTATTTTGCTTCGAACAGCTGAAAATGTGAAATACAATTTTTTTTAGACCTAATTTTACACGTTACTTTGTTTCACAAATTAAAAGTGACCAATCTTTCTTTATCAATATTCTTGAAATTGTACCCTCAATTAGAAGACACCTTAAACTATAACAAGAAAGATGTTTATTTCTTCTCTGACCCATGGAAGTGAATTCCTTTAAAAATTATAAAGAAAAAAAATAAAGAGCAACTGATAGTAATAAATGTGTGGCAAAAGAATTTTCAAATTATTGAAACTATTGTCTGACACTGACAGACACTTGATTTTGATTAAAGTTTATTTATTAAACTTTCAAATAAATTGTCAACTATAAATAATATCATATTTATTAACAAATTGGTAAAATACAAAAGAAATTGTCACATAAACTATCTGTATTTGTGTCTTTGAACAACACATTTGGGAGAGAAAATGGTATAGCTCTCCAGAATTACTTTATGATGTGGCTTTTAAAAAGCCAAAAACTGAAACCCCCCATGTTTAAAATAATAAAAATACAGCAATTCTCTTCTGGTATACCAGTCAACTGTTATTAGGGTTTTGGAAACAAATTTCTTCGAAACAAGGAAAATCAAAATATATATATATATATATATATATATATATATATATATATATATTCACGCACACAGTATAAATATCCATAAAATTTTATTAAAAAATTACTGTGTGTGTGTGTGTGTGTATATATATATATATATATATATATATATATATGTCATCCACAGAGTGAATGTTTCGCTGTTTCACAGCTAAATATCCATAAAGTATTATATACAACCAAAAAGGTACATGAAGATAACTAATATGCTGAGTAATCAAAAGCTTTGCATCTCTGACAACATTTTTATTTCTTTCTTTTTTTTTTTTTTTTTATTTTTTTTTTTATTGTTGTTGCTGCGCTTCAACATTTCGTACCCTACCTTTCTTCAAATTCAAGATGCTGTTGTTGACTCATTGGGTCTCTGGTGAAGTAAGTTTCCAGGCAGCAGCAGAATTTCATTGTCTCTCAACTGGGTAAACATTTGGTGCACTTTATTTATTCATTTTAACCCCATCCCCCAACCTTCAGAAGTGCTGCAGGAGAAAACAGTTTAAAGTGCTTTTTTGCAGATGATCTATTGGTCAGCTTGTATAACCTTTCTGTACCCCCCACCAACACCACGACTACATCTTTCACAAGCATTGGGGATGTCTAGTAATCTTCAAATTATTCCCCCATCCTTTCAGTCACCCAATCTCTCAGTGGCCAAACTACAAAAAAAGTTTTTTAAATTTTACAAAGACAAATCTCAGATGAGAGGAAAGCAAAATCATTAAAGATTATAAGATACAAGTTACATTTGAGGAAGACCAGAGATTTGTCTGGCCAAAAATATAAGGACTTAAAAAAAAAAAAAAAAAAAAAAAACTTTAAAACATTACCTCAATAAAATATATCTATAAAATAGTGTCAGGTCACTCTACAAATGCCACTAGTAGCGTTTAACCTAGTACTACTTGCTGCATGATCTTTGGCAACTAAACAGGGTCCTTCACCAGGTTTTTCTACTGAAGATAACTATACACTCAGCAGGATTAAAAACAAGACCAGTCAAAAAATAGTAGAGAAGAACGAGCTATCCAGCCTTGATTGGCAACAAGTCTAGAAAAAGGACAACTCTGAATTCAAAATTGTATGTAACCCTGACTGATGCATATACTATGCAGCTATTAAAATGGACATGGAGTTTACAACAACTCCAACTGAAGTCATTTAATCAATCATCAATCAATAAAATACCCAATAAGTCATACATTCACTAACATTTGGTTGGTAATTGTGTACTCTAGCAAGTGCTTTATAATATTTGGTCATTCATTTCGACTTAAGAGTTCTGAGAGTTTTTGTGATGGGATGAATGGCAAACATTCTACAAAAAAATATTATGACATTTTTAAAAACTGAATTAAAAAAAAAAAAAAAAATAAGTATGCAGCAATTTATAAAAAGAAATGCAAAGATGTCCTCTTATAGAAGTCATCTTTTTGTTGGGATGCAGGACAACTTATTGCTGCCAACTCGGTGACATGTAAACTATGAAATTTTTTCATCGACTTTTTAAAAACAAATAAAAGTAATGTATTAAAGATCAGTTTTAAAACAACTTTTTAAAAGTGAATAAAAGTAATTTGTTAAGGATCATTTTTTAATACGTAACTTAATTTTTAATTTAAAAATTTATTGAAAATTGTATGCAATTCCCCTCAAATATTCAGTTGAAGATCATTGTGAAAACAAAGAAGCAATCTGTAAAATTCTTTCATCTGCCTTCATAGACTTCTTCAATTTAGGTGTAGGGAGTAGTTCTACATTGGCCACTGACAAATTGTGAGAATGCTTCTTTCCATCCTTGATGACTGCTCCAAACTTTGTATAAAACCTTGTGCCTATGGTCACATTTTATGTTGCTGTCTCTTTTACTAAACTTATTTTCTGTTTCTCTTTAACTAATAATTTCCATTTTTGGTGTGATGAAAAGTTTGAAAATTAAACACCAGTCAGCCAAATAGGGTGTTGTAACTAATAAACCACTAAGACAAACAGCCAAACTTTCAAAATCTTTAAGATTCAAAGGCGATCTAAGAGATGTGCATACTATGACAACCAGTACCAGTTGGCTAGTGTTGAGTCGGCAGTGATGAAATGTCCCCTCCTATTCTGTTGGGCTTTAAACAGGCCAATGTTTATCATCCAAGTGGCCAGAATAAGCAGCAAAGAGAAGAGAATATCATAAAAATAAAGAACAAGAGATAGTATGGACACTTTGATGACAGCAGGAAAACCAACAGCTCCAATATCCGACAAATTGCTGGAAATCATAAATTATGATGAAAATAGATTATATAAATATTTCCACACAATATGAATAATGAAGTTCTCAAATTTTTATAGTTTTTCAAAGAAGTAATATAAGCAACAAAAAAGTCTGCAAATAAAATCCAAGACTGCCAATAAGTAGTCAAGGAATTTCAAAGCATGATCTTGCTATGTACAAATGTGATGAGACCTCAAACATCTGGCTTTTATCAGATAATAAACTAAACAAACCTTTTTGGTTAAGTCAATTTTCTTTTTAAAATTTACATTTTAACATTCTTATAACATTAACTTTATGTAACAGAATATTTGTTTAGTTGTATTATTTTTTTCGGACAACTCCATAATTCCATTCTTTCTGTTTTATCTTTCTTGGCAAAGAAATACTGCAGGTTCTTTTTGCAGATTTTTAGGGAAATGAATTTTTTTTCTAATTAAAAGAATTCTTTAAAAATCAGAATCAATGATAATCTGAAGATGTAATATTTGGTAAGCGCTTCAAATAAGCGAGGACTTCCCACCTTTTATTTGATCGCTATCAATGCCAAATATCCAAAAATGGCATATTAAACAAGAAATCTCTAGCGTAGCAACCTCACAAACTATCTTTGACATATTGTACCTTCTCCATAAACTACACAAACCATTTTTTTTTTTCTTTTTCATGTCATGTATTTTCAGGGTTTGGGCAATCATAGCTCTCCTCAGCTTGATGTCTTGTTGATCTAAACTCCTAACTCAGAGGAAAAAAAAAATGCGGGGAAGCTCATTTTTACCATCCATTCCCTCGAACTCTTCAAACAATGTTCTGTTTCCAAACTCCTACTCTTGGCCTCAATATATCATGTGAATAAAAATCTCCAAGCTTTCTTTCCTTACTATTGCATCCAATATATACTATCTACAATTTCTGGCATTCACTGGAGGTTTTGTAACATATTCCTTACAGATAAGGTGTGGGGAGTGAGAAACACTGTACTCTCTGAGGTCGGGAAAAGTTTTAACAATATTTTAAAAGACAAAATAATACTCACTTTTAAAACTGTCTACATCAAGGTCAGCATGCTTCATCTCTATTAGTTCATAATTCAAGCAAATTTCTGTCTTTTCATTTTCAGCATTAGCAGATCCATTTCCTGTAGATCCATAACAATTAGTCATCAGCACTTCCACAGGGGCTTTCTTGTAATTTTCAAGACTGTTCAAAATCAATAGAACTTACATTTAAAATAAAAAAGAAGAAAGTGGTAATAAGTGATATTTCTTCAGAAATATGATTTTGAAACTCTCAGGAGATAATTGATGCTGAAATAGTCAATATACTGGGTATCATTACAAAACTTAAAGTATCTATATATATTAACCCTATAGTATCTTTCTATGTAAGGTATGTTTCAGACTAAAAAAAAAAGTGATTAAATGAAGCTTCACTCATTTCAATAAAATAATCAAAGGGATAAAGGAGGCAGCAAACTTGTCGATGAGACTCTGTCATTAGTTTCCATCCTTTTTCTTCTCTTCCTTTCTTATTTACCCTTTCTTATTTCTCTCACTTTGCCTTGTGATATGAAACAAAGAGGCAACTGGCGTTTTTCTCTCTCAAGATCAATGACAAGGTGAAAAAAATTTTTCATGATGCATTTCGTCCTTTAGGACTTCAGGCTAAAGTAATGTTTATGTTGATGTAACTACACAAAGGAGAGGGGATGCTGGAATTTTAATCTTTTTTTTCTACTATGTCATCAATTTCTAATATTGTTATGGTATATAAAAATTAATATACTTTTTCTCTCATGTGTGTGCGTGTGTACATACATATATATATATATATATATATATATATATATATATATATATATATTTTGCCCATGGAAAAAGAAATTGAAAATGCATCTGGAGTCTTTAAGAATATTTATTTAGAGTAACTTTACCTGCTTCACAATTCGATGATTTTCAAAAGTTAAATTGAGATGGAGAGATGTGTGACTATGCCATGATGCCCCCACCCCAACCCAACACGCACATGAAATGTAGTGCTGAAAAATTCTCAGCTGCCTCAAAAAGCACTTAAAAAAAGAAACAAATCTGGTCAGATTTCAAGAATTAGACAAAGCCAATAACTTTCCAGTATGCCCTCATGTATGTGTTATGTGTGACAATCCATGTGTAAGTAATTCTAATCCTGTTGTTTTCGATAGTACAATGTTAGCTTTATTAATTTTGAAACTGATTACAAAATTGTCCTATTATTTCTTCAGAATGTTCATAACTCAAATTTCAATTAAATTAAGCTTAAGAAATTAAACATGGAGTTGTAGTTCACAAGTCTTGCATATTCGTACTATTACTTCATGGCTACTCCAGACTCATGAGCTAATCTATACAACAAGAGATCAGATTGTTTCAAGTTGAAATAATTTAAATGTGCCTTTATATGAAATGTTCAATGCAAAGTAAAAACATTTTACAGCAACAAATTATATGCAGCTTTGATAATTTATTGAGAAGTTCTTTCAGATCAAATCTGACATTCAGAATTAGAGCTTGACTCCAAAGACAAAAACATTTCAAAAGATTTTAAACATTTAACAAATGTCGCTTACTTTTAAGCTCTATTATTTTAGGAAGGCTAAAAGTGACACGGTAATGACTTTTTTAAAATCCTGTAACCAGTTGTCCAGTCGTTGATGCACTTGAACTGCACCTCAGCAATAAAATGCTGTGTTTAGGTCAAGATAACTGGACAGAGTCTAGTCCTTTTCAGTGAATAATTTTTATTTCAGGCTGGCTATCCACTCAAATATATGTGTGTAGTGAAACACAGTTAGCATAGAAAGTGGAATTAGATAAACATGTTTAAATTTCAGCTTAAGCTGTTGCATTCACTTTCACACAAATGAAAAGCATGAATCTATTGCTTATTCCCAGCTATGCATTAAACTGAACTTAAATTGCTTTGGTAAGGCAACCAATCTAAGAGAATGAAAAACCAATTCCAAAGCAAGAAAAAGGCAACTGGAGATCAACCTAATATTATTTCCAAGAATTCAGGGTAATTCACAGATTGTAAAGAAAAGGAATCTGTGGAAAGCTATGGTCAGCAATGTCATGACATCATAAAAAATATGTATAAAAAGATGCAGATATTTTTTATAGATTCTAGTTTATACATAATATAACAAATGACAGCGTATTTTGTTAAATCATCCTATTATAATTGTTCCTATTTTTGTTAGTTTGCACGACCGTTACGCCCTGCCAATACCTCATAAATGATGAACTGTTCCATTTTGATCATGTGGAAAGAGGGGAAAAGACACTACTTGGTTTCAGTGAGAAAAATCAAAGAAAGATAGAAGTGGAGAGAAAGAAACAAATTAAGCTGATAAGAACAAATACTACACTTTGATCTCAGTCAAAAGGCTGAGAAGCCATTGTATTTGCTTGATGCTCCAACATTGGCAGGATGTGACACAAGGCCAGTTTCATGTGGTGAGACTGAGTGTGTGCACCCAGGCCAAGTTCAAAAATAGCCCAGCCCTATAACCATTGGTATTACTACTGATCCCCACTCTTTAATGCAACGAAGGAGGTACTGCTGTGGGCAGCTGTTTCCTGAGACTGAGCTCCTCTCAATAGAATTTTCAGTTGCAAGAAATGAAAAAATGTAGTTTATCCACCCAAAGACAGATACTACACTTTGATCTCAACCAAAAGGCAAAGATATGGGGGTAACCATGATAAAAGTGTCATTTTTCATCTTAACAATAAAAACCAAGTAAAGAAATCGCCAAAAAATCAGTTACCATAAATAAAATGACATTGTCTGCTCAATTATTTTAAGATTATTATTAAAAGAAATGTTCTTAAGATGGGGATTTGACTAGAAAAAAGAAGGAAAGATGGTAGTGCTTAAAGTCTCCTGCCAATACTTCATCATAATTAATGGACTATTCAGTTTAGATTGTTTAGAAAAACAAGACATACACTACTTGATTTCAGTGAGAAAATGAAAAAGAAAGAAAGGAAAGATAGAAGTGTTTAACATCTGTTTCAATGAAATGGAAAAAGCTGTCAATTTCAATTTTTTTTCATTTGTACCCACTTCTTAAAATTACAACCAGCCTTCATATTTATGATTATTATTACAATATTTTGTTAAAGTTGTTAAGCTTAAATATATTTTAACGATGTTATAAGGAATTTCTATGAATATTTTATTGTTATAGAACTCACCATAAGCTTATTAAATCATTAACTGAAGAATTAAAATTCATCAGAAAATTCAAATAGGAAAACTCTGAAATTTTCAATGTCTTTTCTAGTTATTATTTTTATAAGGTTTTACATATTAGTTTTTTTTTACATTTAACACACTGCATTCACTTCTCTTTCTACTGCATTCTTTTTCAAGGACTCTCAATTGCAGTATTCTTATTGCTAATTTCACTCAAAGTTGTTTTCTGTTGCCATAGCAGGGTATGACAACACAACTATAAAATTCAAACACACTATTGTTCAGGAATCAGATTCACCTTCAGTGGCAGGATAAACTTTTTGTGCAGTAAATGAAGTCACATACAGAGTGATAAAAGGTTAACTATATAAGCACCCTCCAAAAGCTAAAGACCCAGTCTGCTCTACTATTCAGGCACCAGACAAAATTATTAGATAATAACTTTTTTTTTTTTTTACAGCCACAAGTAATTTACATTATTCAGACTGTTATCTTCATCTTCATTACCATATTCACAACGTTTCAGCAGTTGTATACTCCAGCCTTCTTCAGGTGACTGGAATTTTGAACTGAACCCTTTATTTCATCCACTGGGATAGATTGCTCTAGTTCCATGTGTCATGCCTCTTCTGGATGTCTCCAATCACCTGAAGGAGGCCAGAGCATACAATGGCTGAAATGTTGTGAATATGGCAATGAAGATGAGAATAACAGTTCAAATAATATAAGTAATCATAATACCTCATCTCAGAGATATAGACAGCCACAAGTAACTTCATCAAATAAATCTGCAGGGTTGTTCATATACAAATGAAAGCAACTGTCTGACAGAATTTTAACTTGTGGCATTTTCCTATGCTGTTAACCATCACACTACTAAAACATCTTAATCAAATCTGGGTTACTAAAAAAATTTGGTTTATACATAAATAAAAAAAAAAGAAAGATAAAAAAATCTAGAAGCATACAAAGTTACAGGTTTGTTTATATTACATACAGTCAACAGGTTTGTCAAGTTAACCTTTTTTGTGAAAGAGCAGCTATTTAATTGTGTATGCGTAATTGGGAGATGGCATAACAGAATCAAATTACTCCCATTCATCAACAATAAAGTGAGCAGTAGTAGTAATAGTGATAACAATGAACTGGTCATTGAGAAGGCTGATAGGCATAAAGCCACATTGAGCTGGTAACCTAAAAATTGGAGAGAAAAAGAAAAGATAAAAACACAGAATTTAAATGATACATATTGACAAGTGAATAGAAGTTGTCTATAAAAACTCATGACCAACTAAAAACTTTGAAACAGGCACAAAAAGTTACAGCCAATTAACACTCGTTGCCAATACTTTCCTTTTACTAATTTGTGTTGACTAAGAATAAAACAAAACTTCCAAGAGAAAGACTAAATAGCATTACTAGAAAGCATCACAGCAGTATGGACAGGACACAATGAAGACAAAGTGTAAATTTCAAAAAGGGAACATTATATCATATTGTTTAACAGTTAAAGTAACTAAGTTGGTTTGAATAATATGCCAAATAAATGTCTTCCTCTGGTTTATTAAATTTTTGCAACTCCCCACTTATTAATTTTTTAATCTTTTTTGGAGATTTTTTTTTTGCCAACATTTCAATGGAAATAAATTTCCATTGAAATATTCGCAAGACTTCATGGAATTTTAATGTTTTTTTATGGCTTAACCCTTTGTGAGATATTTAAAGTTGAAACATACTTTGTACTTTTTTTTTTTTTTTTTTGCCTTAACAATTTTTGAGAGTAACAATGTATTTTTCTTAATACATGTCCTACTAGCTAAGGGATGGATTCATAGTTTTCCCAAGGGTATTTGTGTGTTAGTGAAAGTAATGAACCTGATTAGAATTCAAATTTGATTCCAGTTTCTCATACAGAGCCACTATCATTTACATCACCTGCATATCTAACTTCATAGAATTTT